TGGCCCATGTCTTGTGTGCCGTCTTAAACCCGGTACCATCTCTGCCAAACCCGGGCCATGTTTGGCCCACATGCTGTATGCCAGTGCCGGATGAATGCCAGCTGTGCCAGATGCATGCCAAATCTGGGCCAAATTTGTTTGCTGACTGGGTATTTACACACAAGCCAAAGAGCCCAGAAAATGAACGCAATGCGCAAAGTTTCAAGTGAAGCGATTTCCTCCCATAGAAAAGTATTGCCGTAGGCCTACACACAATAACCACCGTGACCGGAGATGTAGACTAAAGCTTTATTCATAAACACCAGGTGCGAAAATCCATCTACATATATCTCTGGTTAATGTTTGAACTGTAAAAGCTACATTTGAAAAACATTATACGGTAATTTGCTATGCTCCGCTGCCACTTTCCACGGTTGCGGTTGCTGCCACAGAGTGCGGGACTTCATTTGGAAGTGGCAGCGGCAGCCGAGTTACATAATTTGTGGTAATGTTTAGTGATGAATAAAGCTTTATGTATAGCCTACATCTCCGGTGGTTATGTGTGTGTGTGTGTGTCCGATAGATAGCCTACATCTCCGGTGGTTATGTGTGTGTGTGTGTGTGGCAGATAGTTTTCTATGGGAGGAAATCGCTTCACGTGAAACATTGCTCATTCATATTCTGACACTTAACGTGCAATTTAGCACAAATTGCCTTCATATTCTGGGCAGGCTTGTCTGTAAATAGTAGCCTATGTTTATTATTAATAAGTTGTGTCCTCCAGTGTCACTGTTTTAGTAGGATACATTAAGCCACGTTAAGCGTTTGTGAAACAGTCCGCGGCCACACCCCCACGCTAATGGTACAGCCCACAGTGCAAATTGTAAGATAAACAAAGGGAAAATAGAAAATAGTTTAGATTTTATTTACTCAAATTATCCTTTCTGAAGTCACAATTTAGCAAAAGTACGATAAAAAAAATTGCAATTATTCATTTATGAAGTACGGAGCCCCTAAAGGGACATGGTGGTGTAAAAAAATCAGATTGAGTGAAAAAATTTGGGGTGGGAGGAAAAAATATTTGTGAGATTTTTTGCGTTCTCTCGCAAAACTTTTGCATTCCCTCGAGAAACTCTCGCAAAGATATTTGCGTTCCCTCGCAAAACGCATATCTTTTGCGAGGGAACGCAAATATCTTTGCGAGGGAACGCAAAGTTTCTCGAGGGAATGCAAAAGTTTTGCGAGAGAACGCAAAAAAAAATTTCCTCCCACCCCAAATTTTGTTCCCACCACCATGTCCCATTAGGGGCTCCGTAATGAAGTAACTGAAAAAAAATGAAAAAATGAACGTTTGGTTTCATTTTTTCATTTTTGCATTTGCTCCATATGGTCTGAAAATTGAATTGTGAAGCATTACACGGACCATTGGTGATAAAAGACTTTCTTTGATTTCTTTGATGTGTATGCACATACAGTATGTTGTAATTCTTACTGTATGAACTTGCAGATTATTGAGCTTATTTATCTTGTTCTTCAGTAACATAAAGCAGGCGGGGAAACATTGTGGCTAAATGCTTTTGTTGCCCTTTTTTCCTGTCTCTAAATGCTGATTAATTTTCTTCCGCTGCGGCTTTGATCCACAGCAATTTTTACCGCTATTCTTGTCTTTTAATGACATTGATTTATGCAGTCATTTGGCAGCTTGTGTTTTCTCTTTCCTGTTGTCCGAGTGTAGTTTTAATTCCGTTTCCATAACAACCTCAAGGCTGTTCCAACGGTGTTGTATATCGTCTTAATTCCACATTGTTGCTTTTCCGCTTATTACATGATTCTGTTTTCAGCCTTGTTAGTCAGTTTCTCTTTCACTCTCTCTCTCTCTTTCTCTCATACAATCCCATCATTTTGATTTCCTCCATCTGTTTTCCATCATCCAGGTGAAATCTCTAATGCATGTCTTTCGCTGTATGAATCTGGAACCACCAGCTGCGGTGCCAGAACAGTGAGCAGAAAGGAAGTTTAGGAACTTTATTCAGAAGGAGGCTGTGATGTTTATCAGTTTTGCACGATCGCTGATGGCCGTCTGGCTCCAGCATGGCATTCATCCATCTATCAGAGCTCCTGAGAGGCCTTCTCCAGCCTCCTCTTTCTCCCCCAAGGCTCTCAGTGTCTCTATCTATCTCTCACACTGGGACTGTTTCTGACTGGCAGGTCATGTTAAGCAGCTCCTCATACAGGCACCCTGATGCTCTTACGGTACTTAAGGGAGCATTTGGGTGAGCAAAACAGTTCTGCTTTTTAGCAAGGAGTGTGAGGGTTCGTGCACTTCAGAGTACTGTATATGCTGTGAAAACAAGTTGCTATAAATTTGGTGCAGTATGCAAACTCGTTTTTTTCTTTTTTCTTTTAGCGGTATAAGGATACAGTGTAATGTTAGAATTGTGCCAACTGGTAAAGGAGATCTCAAGTGCAGTTTAATAAAGAAGAAATTTAACCAGATGCAGAAACCTATAGGTTGTATTGTAGATAGACACTTCCAGCATTGACAGCATTTGTATGTGTTGTTGTAACACCACTTTTTATTTATTTATTTATTTAATTTTTTATTGTCCCACTTTATTTAAAAGGTCCAATTCTGGCATTTAACAAATCATTAACTATTAAGGTAGCTGTTAAGATTAGGATTAGGGATGTAGAATATGGTCATGCAGAATAAGTGCTAATAAACAGCCAATATCTTAAAGGGGTCATATGATTTTCAAGTTTTCGTTTCTCTTTGGAGTGTTACAAGCTGATTGTGCATAGATAAGATCCCTGACGTTGCAAAGACTAAAGTCTCAAAACCAAAGAGATATTCTTTATCAAAGTTAAGACTCTGCAACATATTCTGTTACACCAAATACATAAAATAATGATCTTTAAAAAATAATCATATGACCCCTTTAATAACAGGCATGTTAATAAGCAACAAGTGAATAGTGAGAATTGGTCTTTATACTAAAGTGTTAAATTTTTTGTTTATAGAAAATTAAAAACATGTTCTTCCAGAGATGCAGATAAAAAAAAAAAGACAGACGTTTATAATGAAAGTGATTTATTTATAAAGGCTTCAAATGTGGCTCATCTAGTCGTATTGCTATTGTGTTGTTGTTTTTTCTTCTTCGAAAATGTTATGTAATGTTAAGCTGTTTTTGTACTGATGCCAGGCTTATCGTTCATTTGTTATGAATAATCTTACTTTTTGTTTTGCGTCAAGCCCTGATCCACCCACCAACCCACACTGTCATTTTTATGTCACTACAATATTGAAAAATAGACATTATGTTTACATGCTACAGCTATTCATTTAGCAGATGCTTTTATTCAAAGAGACTTTAAAATGAGGAACATCACAACCCACAAGGGTTTACTTTTTAAAAACAGTCAAAATAATGATTTACCTTCATTAAATCAAACTAAATTTATCCAACAAAACTAAATGTAAGGGTTATTTAAGGTATAAAAAGACTCATTGAGGTAATAACATAAGCTTACCACAGTGTAGGAACAGTCTTTACTATGGTTGTTGATGTATAGTTATGTAATATATGTTGAAAGTCTAGCAAAAATAACTATATTGTGACATATACTGTTACTGTGATATAAGATTGTGGCCATGCCACCCACTCAATAAGTCAAACTGCTAGATTTTGGTGGCAAAAAATCATCTATTTGCTATTGTGTCCTTGTAAAATATGACCTGTGCATAAGTTTGAACACTGCTCTGGATGTGGTTGAGTCAACGGTGTGTTTTGTTATGAGCAGCTTTTGCTGTATTAAAAAAATGGAGTGACCTTATAGCCTGTTATGAGCTTGGACTATAGCTGAGACACACTCCTGACACGCATGAGGGATTTGCTTTCTCTTTCTGTGCCCTCACTCTCTCTCTCTCTCTCTCTCGCTCTCTCTCTCTCTTTATATATATCGATCTTAATATGGCTCTCTCTTGCCCACCTCCTCTATCTATTAATCTATTATTAATACTAATTTTGTACTGATCCAAACCTAGAGCTTAAGTTAATCTTTTTCTAAGCCTCCCCCACTAACTCCCACTTCTCTCGTTCTATCTTTCTCTCTTTCTCTCTCTTGCTGCTCTTCTGTGTCTCCCCAGCAGAGTGTAAGGCAGCAGGTGTGCTGTCACAGGCAATGAAAGGGCCAATCACCTGGGGAATCAAAGAGCCCGTGACTCTGTCACTCCACACACCTTCTGACAGACAGCCCACTATTTATACCTCTCTCGGGAAAAAGTGAGAGCAAGGGAAGAATTTCATTAGAAAGAGGAAAAAAAGAAATAAATGGAAATGGGGAGATGCTTTTGAAGGGGCGATTGAACGAGTGTGAAAAGTAATGAAAAGGGGAGAAGACACCAGCGTGTTGTTTCTGTTTTACGGCTGACACGGTTTTCTTTCTTTTTGGCCTTTAGCTTTTTTCGCTCATGCATTTCCATGATGATACCATGTCGTCCATAAATGTGTGCTGAAACTGTCTTTAGTTCTGTCGCATTGCAAGGCGACGATTGTGATAAAGAAGGAATGTTTAATGAGGTGACGCAGCAGCTAAACGTAGCAAGCACTGCCATGAGGAAAACACTCCACTCATTAGTATCTGCCATTCTCTCCAACTTGCATGTAAATGTGTCTCTGCATCTGTGATGTTTTGTAGCTTATGTTTTTTGTGAAAAATAAACATCAAATCTCAAAACTTAGTTTCTGAAACTGCTCTGAGGACGTGTTGTGAAGAAACCCATATCATGACACAGTCATGCAGGGCCAATGCAGGGTCGTATGCTTTGTGTCCTGTGTCACAAACTGAAGATACCAAACAAAACCGGCAATTAAAATAAACTACTCCAGCTATTTTTAAATGGCTTTTTTTTCCTTCACCTTCTCTGGTTTTTATTTGATTTGATACATTAATGATTAAAGACATTTCTCAGTAAAGTTTGAGTGATATAAATATGAGTGTGGAAATCTCTATATTTACAGGTCCTGACTGGTATACAGTGAGAGTGGATTTGACGGTGATGGATGTCAATGATAATGCCCCAGAATGGACGATGGTCCCTTTCCCCTACCTGAGTGTGGTCTCTGTTAATGCCCCACCAAACACTCTAGTCTACAAGCTTCAAGCCAGAGATGGTGATGAGGGCATCAATGGAGAGGTGGAATACTTCCTGTCTGATGGTAAGCAGATTTCCCATCTGCCTCCTTATGTTATATCAATGTTAAAAACAGCTGTGTAAATTTTTTTAAAGTTTCTTTGATAAGTAGAACGTCCAAAAGAATAGCATTTAACTGAAATAGACAGCTTTATTTTTATACTGTCACTTTTAATCAATTTAATGCATCCTTGCTAAATAAAATTAATTTAATTAATTTCTTAAAAAAAAGAAAAAAACTTACTGACCTCAAACTTTTGAACAAGAGTGTATAATGCTACACAAGCTTTCTGTCAGGCAAATGCTGTTCTTTTGCTATAAATGCTATTCTTTTCAAAGAATCCTGAAAAAAAAATAAAATGTACACAACTGTTTTTAACATTGATGATGATGATGATGATGATGATGATAATATAATAATACATGTTTCATGAGCAGCAAATCAGCATATTAAAATTATTTATGAAGGATCATGTGAAACTGAAGACTGGCGTAATATCTGCTGAAAATTCATCTTTGCCATCACAGAAATACATTTAATTTTTAAAGTATATTAAAATAGAAAACTATTTTAAATTGTTAAAAAAATTATGCTGTATTTTGTATCAAATATCTATCTATCGATCTATCTATCTATCTATCTATCTATCTGTCTATCTGTCTGTCTGTCTGTCTGTGTCTGCTATTGTTAGTTCTATAATAACAATAATTTTATAGTATTAATTTAATGGTAGCACTTAACTATGAGGCTCAATTTGTTAACATTATTTAATGCATTTACTAACAATGAACAACATTCATTTTATTGCATTTATTAATTAAGGCAAGTATTTATTTGCAAATTTACTGTTTTTCATTGTTCATCTATATTTGCTCATAATGCATTAATATTAATTCATACAAGTTGAATGATACCTAATGCATTAACAAATTTGAACCAATTGAACCTTACTGCAAAGTGTCACCATCATAAAATTTGTGTGTGATTTGCATGAGAATGAAAAGTTTTGTTATACGAAAGGAGGTGACGGGAGATTTGAGGTGGACAGGAAGAACGGTTATGTGCGGATGACAGGCCTCCCCCTGCAGAGAGACAGAGAATACCAGCTCACAGTGGTGGCTGCTGATCGGCAGGGCAGCCGCAGTCCTCCCGCTGTAGTGTCCATCATCGCTGGCCCTAGAGCTCCTCAATTCACCAACGTGTCTTATACAATTTCCATACCAGAAAATACACCAGAAGGCCAACCGTGAGTAAATCCAAAACACACAAACATAAACACACACCCAATCTCGTAAATGCAGCAAATCTTATTTCCATAGTGTAACGCTAGCACGCCCTAAATGCATCTCCCACGCCGTGAGAACACCGCTTATCCATCAGGGTAACAGATAGAAACAAGATCATGCTGCACTTACAGCCATCCGTGCGCCCTCTGCTTCTCGCTGGAGCATAGCTTGTGTGAGTCATCGTGTACTACTTGATGCAAAATTCATGAAATAATGATCTTTGACTATGTCAGGGTACTGTGATATGCATTAAAGATGCATGAACATCATAACTTTGTTCTGCTCGTATAGACAGCCGTGAGAGGTTAACCATGCGTTACACCACGTAATGTATACGATAAAAGCCTCTCTTTTTTTTGTAGTTTAATTATGTATTTATTTATTTTAATTTGCTCCCACATATAGATGACAAATGGACCCTTTATTACTTTGTCTTTGTGCAGTCAGTGTTAATAGTTTAGCCCTTTGATATTAGATGAGTCACTGAGAAATGACTTGCATGATGCTGCTACAGGGAAGAATGATTAGTCGTGCCCTACACAGATGTATTAAATCAGGCTTTGCCTTGTAGCAAATTATCCTAAATCCATGTGGAATAAGTGCCTACTAGATCCATTTATGGCAGCTGCATGTCATTAAATATGCATTGCATGCTGCGGTATATTATTTTCCTCATACACACCTGTGATTCCGCCATATTGTTGCTTTTATTAAACTTAGACTTGGCACCGACAGGCAGGCTTACTGAATGTGGTTGGCTTCATCCATAGCTATACAAAAATACGGTTAATGTTAGGATAAGTATATTGCTCATGGCACCAAAGTGGGGTGACGTTAATCTTATCCTCAAACGTTCTGGTCTCTGCCAGACAGCAGAGATAGACCAAGCCAACACGCAACCTCTGCCAATGGGGATGGAGTTGTAATAACCACAATACCTGAAAAGAAGTCACATTTACCTTTGTTCGTCTGCCTGTCTGCCGTTAAGCTTCTTTGGGATTACCAAAATACATTAATGTCAATCTTGACTGCTTGACTGCATGATTATCAAAATTTTGCCTTTATTTTCTAGTTTCTGAATGTATCAAAAAACTGAAAAATGGCAAATTATGAAGTGAAAAGCTCCCATACATGAATGATATTATTTAACAGACTGTTTTTGTTTTTGAGAAAAGCTCATAAAATGTTCAGTTATTTTCATATAAAATATTAGGCTATAGGCTTTGGTTAGTTACATAACAAGAAGAAGAAACGTATATTCTGATACCTGGTCTTATCCCAAAGTTGTGTATCATTCAAATGATACACATAAACGATAAACGCCACTTTAAAAAAAACGAACTGGGTGCCGTGCATTATTCTCCACATATAGCACAATCTGAACCCTAAACACGTTTTGTCAAAACAGCCGGTTTTGTCCACTTTCAAGGCACCGCGAGTTCACGTTTTACAGCAGAAGCCGACAAGTGCCCTTGTTGTTTTTGAACAGAAGCCGATAAGTCAATTTTAGCGAATCAGCGTGCTGTATTCAGGTCAGGTGACAAGCCTGCTAGTCACTTTGAAAAGACGCGCTAGCTGAGAGGAGTGTTGTCAAAGATGACTAAAAGTGATCGAGGATGGATAATTTCAACGAACTTGATGAAGCCGTGATATCTTCTTCGGGGTGTAAAAGGAAAATAAAAGCTGAAACTTTTTCACGGAACCTTGCAAAAGCAGCGCGTTACAATGATGAGGGAAAAGCTGCTCCCTGTATTGCGTGTAATCACAACCATACAGTCTATGAGCACAACAACAACGTTTGTCAGACGTCTACATTGTCAGCTGAGGAGATTACAAAGAATAAACGAGTGTTTCCCTTTCATGGGAACTTCGAACTGCGTCCTCTAGGGGTCGCTATGGGGAACGCCTCGTCGTGACCCGTGTCTGAAGCATACATTGAAAAAACACCAACTTGTTGGCCGGCGACATTTTGCCAGTAAACGACTGTTGGAGTTATCTGCTTTTGCTATAGACCATACTGGCACTGATGCGTAAACGCGGATGTCAGATATGAAGAAAGTGAAGTCTTCATCAACTTTTTACAGAAACCGTAACAGAACCTCAACCGTACAGAAATCCATCTCATAAAGCTTATAATATAACATGCATACACAATAGTAAATAGTAATATTCAATTACATGTTTTGACTGAACAGTTGTTGCATGTTCATCATGTTAAAATGTTGTTTAATATAGTTGCAGCTGCATTTTCCAGTATGTTTTATCTGTTAAATAAACTTCATTCCGTCAAATTCGCCCCCTCATTCAAGTCCTCGGTTCACTCGCGCTCATAATATCAGCACAGCATCAGTTTTAGCTTCATGCATGCTCAGTATCTCCAGCTTATCGGTTCTCAGTATGTCGAACATGTCCGAAAGAAACGGTTCTCGAATGTGTCCGAAATAAACGGTTCTCGGTTCAGTGTACTGGTGATTCGAGAACCGCTGTACCGTTCGGTACTACACGCATGCTCAGTATCTCCAGCTCATCGGTTCTCAGTATATCGAATGTGTCCGAAAGAAACGGTTCTCGAATGTGTCCGAAATGTCGAACGTGTCCGAAAGAAACAGTAGCCCCTCACTACAGAACAAAGATCCAAGGGGCGGTGTTGGATCCACATCTAGGGGGTGGAGATGGGTGGGTTTAGGGATCAGGGGGTGGAGACGGGTAGGTTTAGGTATATGTAAGGTGGGAGGAGTTGGATCTGGATCCAACCTCGCCCCCTGGATCTTGTGCTCTGCAGTGAAGACCATCTCAAAAGAAACGGTTCTCGGTTCAGCATGTTTCAGTGCTGTTGGAGTTACAGGAGTAACGAATACTCTGAGATATTGGTTTATTTCGAGTCGTAGGGACTGTAAGGCATGTCTGAAAGTGAGAAACTTTAGAAAATTGTGAATCAGTGCCGACTCGAGATGCGAACTGTTTTGTACGATTCAGTCCAATTTGGTGAACCGGTTCAAAAGAGCGATTCGTTCGCGAACCGGACATCATTATAACGTAGCAGTCTATACAGAAGCCATGGAATAAAAGAATAAAAAAGGTAATTTTGAGCTTATATGTCAAAATTCTGACTTTTTTCGTGCAATTCCGAGATTATAGCTCACAATTCTGGTAAGAAAAATCAACTCTTCATTCTCTCTTTTCCCCTCAGCTCAGAATCATGAGTTTATATCACACACTTCTGGCTTTTTTTCCCTCAGAATGGACAAACTCGCAATTGTTGAGTTGAATCGAGTTATAAAGTCTGAACTAGGAGATATAAACTTGCATTTGCAAGAAATAAAGTCAGAATTGTGAGATAAAATAGGTAAATGTCATGTAAAATGTTATAGGTTTAAATAGTATTTCATGCTTTAACTGTAGGGCTAATACAATATGTCCACTATGTGAATATTATGTAGATCTATTGTTTAAATCAAATGTATTCTTTAAAAGTAGGGTAATCATAGCAGATTTCATCCATAGTTTGTCCATTTAAACGTCAGCGTTTAGCTTCAAATGGCATCTTTGACGACAGTATTATATAAAAATTATTTGATTCTGACATCCAAAGGCACAACAATACATTGTTTCTCTTATTCCATCGATTTTACCCGTTTACCTCCACTTGTTACCAGTGTTTTTCTGCCACCACAATGCACGCGCTGCTGCATGCAGGGGCGCAAATTTCGTCTAACAGTAGGGGGGGGGACAATAAACATAAAATTTCTCAAGAGCAATATTTGAAGGGGACACAAGGCGTAGCATATTTTCTTAGCGATGGATGCTATTTACACTAAGTGAAAATATCAGTATTTGTTTTGTGATATGCTATTTACACTAAGTGCAAATAGCTATTTATTCTATATTAAAATAGCAGGATATTCTGCTAATTACTTATTGCCAATAGTGGCAATTATCTGCACCTCAGCATTGTAATACATTATAAAACAGTATGCAATAATTTGTTGTAAATGTAAATTTTAATTCAAATTATTAAATGGATGCCACCTTATTGGGACAAAAGCCCTCCCTACACCTACCCTAACCCTACCCGATACTTTTTCAACTTTTTGATTATTTCCTTCATTTTTATTAAAAAAATAAATGCTTTTCTGATGTGATTTGAAATTTGAAAAGGGAGAAAAAAAGTTAGCCAAAAGGCAGATTCGAACCCGAGTCGATCGCGTCAAAAGGTGTATATCATGCATTTTACCATCTGCACCACTAGAGCTGACAACTAGTGTCTGTCTTTTGTAATGCTGACTATAATGGATGGAGTTTATGTAATAGTCTTTGCCAACAATTTTTTTTTATTCCCAACAGTTAAACAGTTGCCCACAGAAAAAAAAAAAACGGGGAAAAAAAGATATGCTGCAGCACCCCCACCTCTTATGATGTATACACAGGGTAATGGCTTACTACTATTAGTGCAGCAGGGAGACCGTGCCAAATTAGATAACTCGAAGCTGTTGTGGTCGCGCCGTGACAGCGCTCGTGTCCGTTGTATCCGTCACAGTGTTGCCAAGTCCGCGGGTTTCCCGTGGAATTGGGCTACTTTATCACTGTTGCTGCGGGTTGTTTTTCATGTCTGCGGGTTGAAGCAACACCAATAACGTGTATTTTAGCCCCCAGAAAGCGATTTTTACCGGGGGTTTTGAGTAGCAATTGGGCGGGTTTTGTTATGAAAACCTGGCAACCATTCCCCTCAAGCAGGTAACGTTATTATTGCTAACATAGTGGATTTATCGAAAAATACATTGGCATCATCTGTATTAAAGAGAAACTAATCACTTCATCCGATGTTTAAGTGAAGAAATTAGCCTTGACAGCCTTACTTACTGGACTTCCTCAACTATTGGCTTTGTTCTCTCTCACCGGACTTGTGTGTGTAGGTGATGTAAAAGAGGAAAGCAGGCATTTGGACCAAAGTGAGGCAAGGGAGGGGGAGACTCAAAATGTTTCTAAACTTAAAACGCATTTTTGCCCCGTTCGTGTTGTTTTAATACTTACAATTGATTAAAGTATAAAACATTGTTATTTACAATGCACAGCGTGGTTTTTAATCATATGTTTAGGGGGGACAACCCTCAGATGGGGGGGTCCGGCCACCCCCCCCACCCCGGGATTTCCGCCTATGGCTGCATGTGATGTAACTGTGACGTCTAAGCCAAATTGCCTTTAATTTGGAATGTACAATAAAAAACATGATTTCTGAAAATAAATAAATATGGAATGATCTGTTTTTGCAAATGAACTCTTCATATCACTCAAAACATTGGTGACGAAGCAGTCAAGAGCCAATCAGCATATATCACATCACTGACATAAAGCCTTTGCTTGAACTTTTCCTGAGGCAGCAAATTTTGAATTTGTAGAGAATTTACTGAGAACATATTAAGAATTTTGTGTCCCATGGCAAACAAGATTTGTGATTTATCGTTTAATGTTTATCCTAGACTAATAAATGCAGCGATGTTTTCATTCTCATTGCAATCAACTATAACCTCTCACTGCCAACTTGATTTGTAAATATTTGTGTGTTTTTCCTACTTTGATACTGCTTAAAATGTCATGAAATTGCAGAGACACACTTTAATTGCTGAGTTTTATGTATTCATTGTCTAAGTCTAGACACTGGTCATGATTTGACCCAGTGAGTAAAAAACAGAGAGAATGAAACTGATAATAACAGTGATCTGGAAGACAGATGCACCTTCAGTGAAAATCACAATATTTTCAGAGTATTTTTTAAGCATCAGGATGAAACTAAGTGAGAGGTATTTGATCTATGTCATCCAAAATCAGGAGAAAAACTTTTCCATTTCCGCTTGCTTTCTTCAGTAATGGGTTTGTTTTGCTCCCAATATGTGATAACCAGCACAATACCATATGTTCTTTGATGCTGTGTAATTGTAAATTGTTTATTCTATATTTACACAAGATCAATGAGCCTGTGGTGAATCTCTTACCTGCTGTACCTAATTCCATTTATCTTTACATTTATTTCCTCAACAGACATTCCCTAACTTACCCACATTCAGTTACGACCAAATGTGTGTAAAGATATAATGCATTCACCTTGGAAGTTGGATCGATGGAAACGTATATTTAAAGGGTTAGTTCACCCCAAAATGAAAATTCTGTCATTAATTACTCACCCTAATGTCGTTCCAAATCCGAAAGACCTTTGTTCATCTTTGGAACACAAATGAAGATATTTTTGATGAAATCGGAGCACACTCTGACCCTCCATAGACAGCAACGCAACTGTAATGTTCCCAGGTCCAGAAACGTAGTAAGGACATCGGTAAAACAGTCCATGTGACATCAGTGGCTCAACTTCAATTTTGTGATGCTACGAGAATACTTTTTGTGCAAAAAGAAAACAAAAATAATGACTTTATTCAACAATTCTTTTCCCCAGAGTTACCGTCTTCCGCCATTTTAGAGAGTATTACAATGCATACGCACGCTTTCCCCTAAGCGTAAACAACGCTAATTACGCAGATTACGTTCATGTGCGCACTTTCCCCCCAAACGTAAACAACGCTGATTACGTCGATTTCGTACTTAGGGAACTCTCCAAAATGGCGGAAGATGTAACTCGGGGGAGAAGAATTGTTGAATAAATTATGCTGTTTTTGTTTTCTTTCCGCACAAAAAGTATTCTCGTAGCTTTGCAAAATTGAAGTTGCACCACTGATGTCACATGGACTGTTTTGCCGATGTCCTTGCTACGTTTCTGGACCTGGGAACATTACAGTTGCGTTGCTGTCTATGGGATGGTCAGAGAGCTCTCTGATTTAATCAAAAATATCTTAATTTGTGTTCCGAAGATGAACGAAGGTCTTACAAGTTTGGAACGACATGAGGGTGAGTAATTAATGACAGAATTTTCATTTTTGGGTGAACTATCCCTTTAACAGATTAGCTGCATTGGTGCACTTATCGTTTTATTTAACCCATTCTTCTTTCCTTTTATGTTTTTTTCATTTGTAGAACACCATAATCAATTAGAGTCAATAATCATAATTGATTACACAATAATCAGTTATCGTCAACCAGGTTGTCTCTCTTTTTGTCTTTTCTTATTCAGCTTCCTTGTCACTCCAGCAGTGTCCTTCCAAAAACAGCCAGTAACTTACAGCCTGCTCATCAATCCCAGCAGTCTTTTCAGCATGCAGCCAGAGACAGGGGAGATCAGCCTGACCCGTACTATAGACTATGAGAGTGACCAGCACCGCTACCTGCTGCTGGTGCGGGCCAGTGAGAATCAGGACAGTCTCAGCAGTGCTGCCGAGGTGAGTGCTCTCATATGCTAATGATTTATTTATTTTGTCACTTTAGTGCTTACATATTTGATACATAATAGATATTTTTATAGTTTTTTTTAGAATTTTAATTTCTATATTTCTAAAAAATCAACATTTTTATACAGATTTACAGATTGTGTTCAGAGTTTGGCTAGAAAATGGTTCATTATCTCTTGGTTCAAAAGACTATCTTTGCTTCCAGAGTAAGATCTAATGAGTGATATATAAGAAGTTTTTGCTCGTAACGAAAAGTATAGTAGTAGAAATGTATTCATTTGGTAGTTTATTGGGAAAAAAACATGAATATTACAGTATAATGACTGGCAAGAAGGCTGCTGAAAATAATCTTCAGTATTATGTATTTTTCGAGGGAATTTGACTTCAATAGAAATGTAATACATATAGCAGTTAAATAAACGTGTAGTGGAAAAAGGTGACTGATGATATCTGCAGTAACAACTGTTATAATATTTCATCATGAGTGATTGTTTGATGGTAAGTGATTCATGTCATTCACACATCCACAGACAAATACTTGCATGACTTCAAGGACTTGTATGATTCTGGCTGTCCATTCACAGAAATTTTTAATGCAAAAACTATGTGGTTTGATATATATATATATATATATATATATATATATATAGACAGACAGTTTGTTTTGTTTTTAAATAATGGATCACAGCTACTAGGATAAAATTAATTACTATGAATCCCTGTAAAAACGCATGTTAGACCAACAGAATTCCCCTAAATTTTGTCACAAACACAGTTGTCTGAACAAACAGTTTCATATTGTATTGCGATTTGCAAGCTCCCAGCATTGCAGCAATGTTTTATCACTTGGTGGCATTATATATGTTGCTGTGCTTTTTTTCCCCCAAACCACTGTTTGTTATTTTTGGTCACTGTTTGTTACTGTGTTTAAGATCTGTGTGTTAAATGTGCGTTCATTTCAATTTTAATATTATATATAAACTTCACTTCTATTTTAATTAAGATAGACTGTTGATAATATTCATGTTATTTATGCTTTCCATTCAAATTTTGGTCACTTAGGCTGAAAAAAAAAAAAAAACCTATAAACAAGAGGGTTGGGAAATGTAAAGGCAACAATTTAGCTGAAATCAAAGAGATGCCTAGCAGTCCCGTTCATTCCTTTTACAGTAACATTCCCCTGGAGGATGTAGTCTCACCTCATCATGACTTGATCTGGCTGCTCAGTGATCCATACATCTGTCCTGGCCTGAGGCAGGCCAGCCAAGATCCAAGCTATTAGCTGGGGAATGTCACAAAACAATGCAGCCACCGTGTGACTAACTGCAGATGGGGAGCAAGAGGGCATACAGACAAAAAAATACACTAAAAGACTGACAGACCCTTTTGACTTGAAGAGTCCCGTGAGATGTGGTCCAGAGAGAAATTTGCCTGTTGCATACTCTGCATACAGCCACACCACAGCCCATATGTCACCCTGAAATCACTCTATAACTCTTCTCACATCAGTTTCTGGAGACCCCGAACACCTGTGCTAAAGCACCAGTTACAACAATCAAAACAAACACTGTTTAAAATGACATATTTAACCATGTGCAAAATGAACAGGCTTTAGAGTCAATAATTATGGCCCATTCAGTCACAGTTATTAGGGTTTGCACAATCATGGACAATCTGAAAACTTCAGCGATATTTGTAATTGTTTTCCAGGCCTGAAAAAGCCATGGAAATTTCTGCATTGGATATACATTTTCTATTTATGATCTGCTATAAAAATATAATGTTTTTGAAAGAAGTGTCTTATGGCGTTTGTTTGATAAAAAACTGTAAAAACGATAATATTGTGAAATATTATTACAATTTAAATGCAATTGCAATTTTAATGTAAAACAATTATTTTACATTTATTTTAGTTAATTTAAAATACAATTTTAATGTTTTCTATTCTGTAATATATCGTATTATTATGGTTGTTCATTTTGTGTGTGTTATAAATAAGTAAATAATAAAAAATAAGAAATTAATAAGTTACTTAATTTAATAATAATAATAATAATAAAAATAATAATAATAATTTTGAATGGTACTGTATTTAACCCTTATCCAGTAATCACAAGCTGCTGGACAGATTGCACTAAATTGAATCATATTTGTACTCCCAGACTGTATCAGTCATATCAAATCTATTTTGATATAATATCTTTGGTTATCATTGGTTTTACTATCAACAGAATAACCACTGAGAGTAAAACTTAAATAAAACCAGACTCTGAACAGTTACTGAGATCACAAAACTTTCCCTCAGGGATCTTCCTGTCTTGTAGCTCTTCTTTTGATTTAGCCTTATATGAAGTTATTTTATTTCTTGTGATTTTGGATTATGGTCTCTGTTAGTGTTAGAAATATGAGTAACATTGTAGACTTAGAACTGTAGTCACAATTTTGACCATTTCCGACTTGGCCTGTCTATTTTAATCTTTCCAGTCTCTGAAATTGAAGTGAGTAGGTTATTAAAGTCACTTAGCAACTGCCAGGAAGCTTGAGCTACAGTGTCAGGGCAAAAGCACTCACACAGTGTTTTTCCCTCCTCCAGACAGCAACTTTCATAAGATTGCTTAATTCAGTCTTATGGGAGGCATTAGGTGCCTCTTTTAGCTTCCCTGATGCTTTTGGAACAAATCGGAAAGAACCATAACATGCCCATGTGATATCGGAGGACGTTTGTCCTTTTGTGTTGAGATTTGCTACTTCACTACTGAATTTTCAGGCACAGATGCTTGGTTATGTAAGAACATAACTGCTTGACACCAAATAATTTTGCAGTGGGAAACGGCCAAGATAAAACTGGATGATGGTTATAAGGAGTGATAGGATATGGCCAGGGCTGGACTGGGACAAAAAATCAACCCTGGCATTTTTTGGTCCAGGCGGCCCATCACCACCCATCACCACCCATCACATATATATATATATATATATATATATATACACTATATAATCACACCGGTGTGATTGTATCAAATATAAAAAATATTATTTTTTGTCTTTTGGAAGCTGCATTTAAAATCCACTTGGCTCAGAAATCTGAGGGGGGACGTGCCCCCTCACTTTGAATGGGCATGACACCTCTGATCACACTCATATCACATCTTGTTTTGGATAAGAATAAAACGTCAGGTCCGACAATATCGTGTCTTTTTTTATTTAAATCTAGCTTTATTCGCATTGGCCCATGGAAACCTCTATGAACACACTTGACTTGACTTGGCTAAAAAATCGCGGGGGACGAATTTACACTTTATTAAAAAAGTGTTTACGCATACACTCATGGCGAGCAGCCGCGCACACACATTAGGATAGGTTAGATTCCTGCCTCCGTTGCAGTCCCTATCAAGCACTTTACCAATTCAACTACTCTCTTCTTCTCCTCCTGCCTTGCTCTTTGGCCCGCATCACTCACCGCAGAGCAAGCCTGTTCTTGATAAAGCTGCTGTGAAAACGTGGGAAAAGCCGACGAGGAAGAAGTTGGGGTGATTAGATCTTTATATAGGCGGAGCAAAATACTTCATCGCTCCGTCTATAGCGCATTGTGATTGGATGTTTACGCTGTCAATACAGGAGACAAACCAATGGGCCAATGGCTGCTCGCTGTCCCTGCGTGATGGTTTTCGACAAAAAAAACATTCTGTCAGCCCCTTAAGTGTGGCGGCCCACCGGGAAAATGCCCGGTATGCCCGATTACCAATCCAGCCCTGGATATGGCCTTTAATGCTTGTTAAAAGAACTTATTTGGCAAGGTGTTTTTGAAACGGCAGCAGCTTCCCAGATTCTAAGAAACACTTGGGGCAGTCATAGTGATGTGCTAACTTACAGTATTCCCTGATAATAATTCACAAATCAAGATATTATGATCTGCCCATTTGATCCCTTAACAGTTCTCACCCTTCTATTTTTGTGTCTTCTGGCTTCCTATCCGCATGTTTCTCACAGGTGCGAGTGATCATCATGGATGAGAATGACTGTGTTCCAGAATTCCAGCAGTCCATTTATAGCAAAGACGGTGTCCCTGAGACAGTCACGACCGCAACGTCACTTCTGCAGGGTAAGGCTGTGGACCTGCACATCAATGCACCATAGCCATTACATACAGTAGTAGAAAGACCCAGTGTTTATTTTTATACAATTAATTTTAGCCATAGTTTTAGTCATGCTTTTATTTTTTTGTAGAAGCAAATACCATTTGAAACCAAATATTAAAATATCTGATATATTAATTGAAACATGCATGCATACTAGGGCTGTGCAAAAAAATCGAATGCGATTTTCATGCACATCTTGTCAGTAAGCCGCTTCTGTGATTAGTAGTAAATCTCCAGCATGTGCTTTCAGATGGAGCGGCATTTACTACACAGAGCCATAGATCACTGACAAGCTGCTTTACTGACGAGATGAGCATGAAAATCGCATTCAATTTTTTGCACAGCTCTAATGCATACTTACGTACATACATTCTTGTGAATATCAGGTTCATGAAATATTATAAGTTTGTTGTAATACAATAGATTAGTGAACACATATTCACTATTAACTAGGAGTTTTTCCTTAATAAACTCCTAATTTGCTGCTATTTGACAGTTTGTAAGGTACTTGTTGTAGTTATGTTTAGGTATTGGGTAGGGTTAAGGGATCAAGAATATGGTCATGAATTAAATGCATTATAAGTACTAATAAACAGTCAATATGCTAGCTGTGTGCATGCTAATAAGCAACTAGGTAATAGGGAATAGTGCTCCCTAATCTAAAGTGTTACCCAATACTTTAATTCGTTTTTTATTGCTTATGTTTTAGTCAAGAAGGTTTTAGTTGCTGTTACAAAAAGAGTATATTAACAATGTGACTTTGTTTCGCACTTATGTCATTATGTGCAGATGCTGTAATATTATGTTGCATACTAATATATAAAAGTTTAGGGTCAGTAAGATTATCATTTTATTTTTTAATTTTATTATATCTTTTTTTTTTAAGAAATTAAACACTTTATTTTTTAAGGTCCAATTCTCACTATTAACAAGCCATTAACTATGACTTTTACCTCAATAAACTCCTAATTTGCTGCTTATTGATAGTTTGTTAAGGTAGAGTTTAGGTATTGGGTAGGATTAGGGATGTAGAATATGATCATGCAGAATATGTTCTTAATAAGTACTAATAAACAGCCAAAAGGTTAATAATATGCATGCTAATAAGCAACTTGTTAATAGTGAGAACTGGTCTCTATACTAAAGTGTTACCATTTAATTAAGCAAGGATGCATTAAATTAATTAAAAGTTAAAGTTAATACATTTATAATTTTACAAAAGTTATATTTCAAATAAATGCTGTCTTTTGAACTTACTATTCATCAAATAATCCTGAAAAAATGCAAAATGGTTTCCACAAAAAAAAGGAAATGATACAACCAGGGGTGTAGGCAGCAGACGTGCCTGATGGGCACAGGCCCGCCCACTCTGATGAAAGCCACCCCCCCAGTTTATTATACAAATATAATATTTGTTAAATAATTATTGTTTAATCTATTTGAACACAATTAGAGAACTATTATAACATCTCAAATAACTAAAATAAATAAAATGTGTTTTTGCATAATTCTTGATGAGTTTGATTGACAGCTGTGTTAGGCTATTAGGTGTTATCCAGGCTGTTTCGGGCATGTCGCGCCTGTGAATTAGTGCATGTTCACCCATTCAGTTGGACTGTAATTTGCAGCTGTGTGTTAGAAAATGTTAGAAAAACAGCTGCAATGCATAATTCTGTAAAAAATACTTTTAAAAACTTGCACTGATGAGGGAGAGAGCCCTTCAAAGTCGTTTGGTGTGCGGTGTCTAAAGAATTTAAGACCAGCTATTGCCAGTCGTACTCACGAAGATTAGCCTAATTATTATTATTTTTTTTTTAATAATTTTTGTGACTGACGCCGGCGATTAACTGCACCTGTTTCCTAATTTGTAGGCCTATTAATTTCAATAATGAATTAAAAAAATCACAAACATATTTCTGAATAAAATAATTTTATACACTTTAGTTATATCTAATTTGGCATTTTCAATTAACATAGGCCTGTTACATTCTTCTTATTAGCCTATTAGGCCTATTATTATTAAGTTACTTTTGTTATTAAATTAATATTACAATTAATTTGCCCCGCAATAATTTCATAACGCATCACTGCATAACTGACGTGCTGCGAGGATAATAAAGATTAGGCTAGCTTACTCCTCATTGAAAATGTTTTTTAAAAAGGTCTTTCAAAACAGGTTTATTATACAATGAATTATAGGCCTATAATTAAAATGAACACCGCAATCATCAATGAAAAAGCTTTATTTCAAACACCGACTTTTTAAAAAAGAAAAATAATACGTCGAGAAATATTAAGGGAGTAATACCACAAGGGAAATATTAAGGGAGTAAATTAAAATATTTATATACCGTTATCAGCATATCAAGTAGATTTGTCTCTCGTCGTCTCTGAGAGAATATGCAGAGTTAATGCAGCGTCAGTTTTTACTTTCACTTTCTAGTGAATCGACTGAGATTAAGAGGTTCTCTGCATAACTCTTGCGCAAAATTTTCACGTTGCTTGTGTGATATCCATTGGCTCACCTTACTGGTTCAAACAAATATTTACAATATTGCGACGTAACCAGCCTCCCCACCCACTCTTGAGTTCGCGGTTAGGGACCGCGGATTTGCGCTACTGGACTCCGTCTGTTAGTTAGCCTTGTGCCCGCTCACTTTTGCCCAGGCCCGCCCAAAAATAAAATTCTGCCTACGCCACTGGATACAACCATTTTCAAAGTTGTTAAGAAATGTTTCCTGAGAGCTAAATCAGCATATTTTAATTATTTCAGAAGGATCATGTGACACTGAAGACTGGAGTAAAATTCAGCTTTGCTATCACAGGAATAAATAAAATTTTGAAATAATATAGAAAATGCTTAAAGGGGTCCTGTTATGCTCTTTTACAAAGTCTTGATTTTGTTTTGGGGGTATACTAGAACAGACTCTCATACTAGGTTGTTCGAAAAACATTATTTTTCACATATTTTACATTATTACAACACCTCTGTAAGGGAAACAGGTCAATTTAGCATTGGTTAGCTGGGCCAGTGTGTGTTGTGATTGGAAGCACTCGGCACCTAGTCGGGAAATGTCATGCCCCTTACCATAGCCGTCTGCGAGCTTCCCGGAAAACTTGCGTTGTAGTCCAAACGAGTCGTTCGTTGTAGTTTTTGAAAAGTGATTTATGTTAAATAAAATATCTCCTTTTGAAGTGGACTTTGAACTTTGTAGATCTTTTTTATGCTCAAACAGCAACATTACAGACTAACTAAAGTTGAAAAAGTGAAAAAGCATAATAGGACCCC